CTCTCTGAAATAAATTTTGTTGCATGAGAGTAAGATTTTTCCTAGGGAACTTATTGTCTAGGCATTTAAGGAAACGTATGAAAACATGAAAGCAATTCTTCAGTACCCAGAAATATAACAGATTAGAAAAGCAAATATTCTGTGACCTTAAGATTATCGCAATATTGCTGGGTTTGCAAATAGGTAACACAAAATACTATTGTTTCCTGCATAATCCTGGGACAGTAGTGCTAGGGATTTGCATTACAAAAAGGAGAGCTAACTATCAAATACACTTTTTACACTCAGTAGAAGAAAAGCTTTACTTCACAAGCTCTTGCAGATGCAGAGATCATATCAAATTAGGGTTCATAAAAACTTTCGACAAGACACAGCAGTAAAATGAACTAACATTTGCATACATACTCATGCAGCGAATTATCAGCCCTATGTTTGCATAAGAAGGTATATTTGTTAGACCACAGGTAAGTGATTTCTAACGTGATTCTTAGTTTGAACAAAGAGCTTGGAATGCATTTCGGCAAGTGTGTCAGAGTTTTCTGGGGAACAAAAGAGTGAAGAATTACAAGCAAACAGTGGAGAATCTTGTGACACCGTATAAAAGAATGGATGAAGAATGTGACTAAAAATATATGCCATCTATTCTAATTTGAATTCTTTACAGGCAGTTGCGTTAATGTCACAAATGACCATGGAGATTTTATCAGCAAATTGAAAAAAAAAATGAAAGAATGTTACAACGAGAACTATTAATCAGTTCCTGTTCGCACATTAGAAATGATAACTATATGTTAGATAAAAACGACAAACTAAAAAGCCCCAAAGTTTTCAAAGCCATAAGCGTTAATCTTTTGTTTAAACAGTTGACAATACTGTTTCTCTATTATCTACTGCCTTTTCTAAACTGTTTAAGTAAGAAAATGCTGATTTTAAAATTCTGCTGTGTCTTCTAAACAAGAGCAAGTCTTAGACGATAAACGGCATATCAGTAATCAAAAGATGAAATTTAATAAGAAAAACGTTTTTCTTTATTTCAGTTATGCCGAATTCTCAAATTACAGGCGAAACACTGCTTTTGAGTGTTAAAATGCAGCATGAGTTTTGCTGTAAATTCTAAACAAAAACCAAGCTTAGAATATAAAGTGCATATCATATTCAGGAAGTGAAATTTAGTGCGACAAAGATCGTTTCATCTCTGTAACAGAAAAAAGTGAAACTTCGCAGAAAAGTGGTACCCTTAGAATTCCATGAAGACATCCCTATGTAGACAGATAGACCTCGTGCCCTGTACGCACATTATCTTAATTATTAAATAGTTCCACAATGTATGTAAACTCGGATCAAAAGCAGCAGAAAGTTTGGAAAAAATTTGGGTCTAAATATGAATAATTTTTATTCAAACAATTTTTTATGTAACCTTCACCAGTTTCTCTTCATTTCCGAATTAAGTGAATAACTTACATAAACGACTGATAACATCTCTGCTTCTTTCTTTTTGGCCCTCAAATGTTCCTTTGCTTTTGGTTCTCTCACCTAACAATTCATATCGTGAAACCTAACGGATGATGCTAGGTTCTCACTGACTCCCAAACGCCTCTTAATATTGCTAGGTTTTCCTTTTCTTCTCCTACATTCTTAGATTTCCCTGTTAAACGAATAACGACAGTTTATGTCTGGCGTTTTTATGGAACTGAGATGTCAGGAAGTAATCTGCTTAAATTTCACATTCACTCAACATACATCAAGTATTCATTAATGCCATTCTCATTACTGCCTAAATCAGCGTTTTAATCAGTGGTATATTTATTTAAAATGACATCTGGCAACCTGTATATCACCGACTATTTTAAACGTTTCAACTAAATATCAAAGCAAAAACGTCCTTAACAATGACTTCTTTTCTACGAACACATGTGCTTCAACAGAATACAACTTTTAACATGACAAATTTAGCAAATTCTTTATACACTTCCTAGAAATGAATTAATGCATAATTTCTTTATTCGGCCTTTAATAATAATTAAATTCAATTTCTTTGGATGGACGCTTACTAAGCAAAACTCAGTAACGACAAAGTTAATTTGGCCGCAAAATACTGCTTAGTTTCCTTCCCAGTTAGAATCCCGTTGTCAGAATAACCTGACTCATCGATTATTCCATGTGCAACGTAATTTTTGTTATATGAAGTCCTCTGAGAAAGCGTTCTAGTTAAGACAAAATAACTTTCTAACAAATTTGCAGTAATAAATTACCTGCTTATTTAACAGAGCTTTAATAAAAAGCTACATGGAAATGTGCACTAAATCAATCACAGAATGCAGTTGTGCTGGGAAGTGGAACTCCAAACCCATTACTTAACGACAATTTGATAGTGTATAAATGCAAGTATTTAAGGTGTCTTACTTCCTAAAAATGTCATTAAAAATGACACAGATGATTTTTTATACCTCTTTCCATATGATGTCGAGATACGTAACAGTTTCATTTCCCTAAAGTAAGAAACCGCCTGTCAGCAAGATATCAATTTTCACTTAAAGAATGTATTACTTTCACTACTAAGTACGTGTGTATGCTTCTTCAAAATTTCATAAATATAATGAATAAATATTTCGTATAAAGCAAACATTTTTCAATATCGCAGAATTATCATCAGTAAATGTTTCACATTAGATGAACACTAATAATACAAAACGTTCTACGGAGAGAAAAAGAAATTGACAAGTACTGTTGAGAATCCAAATGGATCTAATTTGCCAAAAAGCATTCTTCAAATTATTTGTAATGCGAGGTTTACCACTGTGTAATTGCAGTCAAAAGTGAGTAACCTTAAGAACTAGTTAACGAATAATCGCTTAAGTTCGTGTAACAAGAAACAATAAAATGGAAGGGTAACTAACCCTTTATTATTCCAATAAGATTTAACAAAACTCCGTCTTGGATTGTACAATAAAAGCCGACACTTGGGCTTGAATTTAGTTGACCCCTTAACTCTATTTGACTACGAAGCTTATCAAGGGCCTGAGTACGGCCGAGCGTAATAACAGCTTTGAGAGAGAGTTAGCCATAAGGCAGCAAATCAGAAACTCTGATTCTCTCTAACTTAGCAAGTAGAACTTCGCGGTTAAATACCGCTCCTCCTCATTAAGTATTCAGAGTGATTCCAAGACTACGTTCTGAACGGAAGTAGTAAGTTGAAGTTAAGAATTTGACAGGAAAGGAACTTTAACTTAAAATTTAACTGTGAATAAAATTATCATAATCCTTACAGTATATACAAATTCAACATTTATTATTATTGAGCTACTCTTTTAGAAGCAAGGCCGCGACCAGAGCCAATGCAACTGATGCAGCCGCACCAGAAGACAGAATTTAGAGAAGCACCTAGCAGCAAAATCTAGACATGGCAAAATTACTAAGATTTAGAAGAGGCATTAGGCAAGGGAATTTAGGAGCGGTACAATTTTTTAGAATTTAGGGAAGCATCGACAGCGGAATTTAGGACCGGCAGGAGACTGCACTGTGCGGCAAAATGCAAATCTAAAATGATTTACTCTGCATTAAATGAAAAACCTTTCAATTTACTGCAACTTTTCATGACATATTTGTAAGAAGCTAAAAGAAAATAATCTGCAAGAACAGATGCTATATTAATATCTTTTATATGAAATCTAACACAACCTAAAATTAAAATGTATTTGAGCTTAAAGCTGTGAAGTATAATGAGATTTTATATAGTGATAATTACATGAATGCAATTTTACCGATAAAAATCACATTCTACTTTTTTATGTATGGAGAAAATTTCGACGTCTTCTTTTTAAGTAAAGATTAATAGAATTACTATTAACTGTATACATGAAAAAAATCAATAAAAGTAGCAATTCAGCATGGCATTGCCATTATATCATAAAATATATATTCTTTTAAACTTACTGTTCTAAGAATGATATACTATATTATTATCAGTTCTGCAAATAGATTGACTCTTTGCTTTAATAATGGAACATACAGAAAAAAATTTCCAGCAAGATAAATAAATTATTTGCTTAAATGTAAATAGCAATAACTTCATATTTTACACAACACAAAAATTTTTATTTTCACATGGCAATGTACAAATGTTCAGGTCTTGAAATCATTTAATTCAGATTTTTGTTTCTGAAGTAAAACTTCGCTATTTTTTATCAGTTTCTTCAAATTTCTTGCCAAAATATGAAACTATCAGGGGTAGTTTTGGATAAATTCTATATCGAAATAGTGAAAAAATGTTGGAAGTGCTATTAACTTTTAAACTGTCACTTTATATCCCTCTGATAATAACAAAAATGCTGTGAACATCTTTTCGTCGATTTTGCTTAAAATGTTCAACATTATATCTGGGTCCCCATTTTTTTTATCGTGTAAAATATAAAATGTTCTTTTTTTTTTTTTAGAAAATTAAAGCTGAAATTCAAAAATGAGAGAAAATATCTCCTTGAATCCCTAGATTGAGAAAGAAAGAAGTCTTTCAAAATGTATCGTTGAATGCAGATATATTTTATGATCGCATAGTACAAACCTTGTGCTTCAGATGAAGGACTTTCGGTAATAAGAGGTCTAAATTGAGCTTCGTTGTTAGGCCACCAGACCTTGCTACGTCACAAAATCTGGTTTAAGGATTTTGCCTAAATGTTCTAACTTTTCACTTTATACATATTTTGTATGAGAATCTTCCAATTACAGCGAAATGACATTTAGTGGACGGTTTCGTTGAGTCAGCTGCCCATTTACGTACGCACAACTTGACCGTTCCTGATTAGCTACGGCTTAAACCTTGTTACACACGTATGAAAGATTTAATGACGTTTACGCTTTAGGCCACAAAGCGTTATTAATAAAAGCCCTCCTCTGAATGAAGCCTACTGACATGTCTTCGAAGAGTGAAGCAATGTATTTAATTTCGAATTAGAACTTATACATCTTATGTAAATTAATAAAATATAAAAAGATGCATACACAAAAAACGACATAAAACTTTTATTGATTTATCACCCCCTGATAAAATATGTGCAAACGTAGATGTAAAACACCGTAAATAATTTCACAATAATAATAGCATAATTTGCGAAATATCAAATACATAGATATATTTATTTAACAGGAAGATGCTACATAAATACGATAAAAGCAGTAAAATAAACCTTGAGATCGTTTCTACAATTTAATGCACCCAATAATAGTCGCATTCCTTATTATTGTATTACGGAAGATTTCGGAGTTTTCTTTGCCACGACTGGTAACTTTTCTCCTTCCAGAAAAGGATTTGTTGGCTGAAATATAATAGTATTACATTAGCAGTAATATTGACAATCGTTGTGGTTTGATCAATTTCGAGATTTTACAAGGAAATGATTTCAAGAGTATTTTATTAATAAAAATAAATATTTTCCAAAACATTGCTTAACTACAAAAATTCATGAAAATAAAATATAAGCAAAGTAAATTTTAAAAAAAAAATGCCTTTTGCTTTCATCCATCGTTGATTATATCCCCCAAGTACATAAAACGGAAATTTTTCTTTGTTGTTTCAAAATTTTCAAAGAATTGGAACTGAAAGAAGCACAGCAACCTTCATGATTGTTTCGTTACTACTAAATAGCTAAAAGGCCTAGAATAATTTTTATTATCGTTTCATCTTTTCTAATATACTTGAAACCTCGTAGAATAATTTTCATTACTGTTTTACTCTCTTTAGCACAACTGGATCTGATTAATACATGATATTCATTTAAATTATAATAGAATAGGAAATTTAGAAAATGCTAGTAATATGGATACATTTTGAATTTTATATAAGACCCCCCCACACACACACACACAGAAAAAAAAAAAAAAAAAACTTGTTATGTTTTCTATACGTTTTTGGATTTGCTGCCCTATACCTTCTTCTCCTCTTTTCTTTACTAGCTCGTCAGCTGATATCGATGGTTTAAAAACAGATGAAACATAATCATAATTGTAGGATTCATGCTGCAAAAGCAATAACCTCATTGGAAGGAAAAGATTTAATGACGCTTCTCTCCCCACACTCCAAAAAGACGCTAAACTTATAATAAAACAACTAAACTCATCGTCTTAACCACGTCGTCATTAGCTCGTCGCAAATTCATGTGTTGAATCTAATTCTTTATTCCAGGGAAACCACGGAATTTTCATATCAGACACCCCGACTATTTCATAAGATTCCCTGTTATAAAGATGTCGACAACCTTGCACATGTCTATGACTATTCGACAAGAACTTCACATGGACATCACAGTATCTTCTTGAAGGTTGTCGATGATATTTTAAGCTGAGCTTCAAAAAGGTTCCCAGCACCTTTCCATCTTTATGTTGGGGCACCATTGTGTCTTAGCGAGCAATGGGCAATTTGCAAAAATATACAGTCATTTTTTTACAAACTAGCCGCATGCCGCCCCTGGCCACTTGTATGACGGGTCACAGCTGTACAGCTGGCACGTTACAGCCCGCTAAACTCAGAGGAAATAGCTTTCCTATCTTAAGCTAGAAGGAGCTCTCCTATTGGAAAGTTAAGTTATTAAAGATTTATTTACTTTCGTTTTGGTTAAAGTAAGATGCAGGTAAGATGAAAGTTCCCTTTGGGGTTAAATTAGCACAGTATTAGTTAGAAAATAACTGTATTAGTAACTGTATTAGTTAGAAAGTTAACACATTCTCAGTTCTGCAATGCTTTAATATGTTCCCAATGGTACCTTAGTATATTTTAGTTATTTCTTTTTCTTCTCTTCATTTATTTTAAAACGCACCATTTGATTTATTTAAACATACAAGCCAGTCCTTAGAAATTAAAACCATCAGTAGTTCTATTCATAGTTTATAAAAATGATTTTTTTTCCTAAAGGATTATATAAATTTCTAAAGAATAATTCTAATTTCTAAATAATTTTATAAAGAATAATTATAATTTCTAAATAAATTTCTAAAGAATAGTTCAAAAACTGTTAGTGGAACGTATTACATCAGTTTCCAATGCAAAATTACGTTTCCGCCTTATGGACGCGTAAATACTATTTTAAGTATGATGCCTAGATGAGCGCATTTCTCTAACTGTCAAAAAATTTATTTAATGAATACAAATACAAAAGGTTGCGTGTGCTGCCAAAAAACTGCATCTTAATGCATTTATCTTTTAATCAACATTTCCCAGAAGTACTTCAATATATAAAAGTCAACTCATAATATGCTTGTAATAGAGCTATGTTCTGGTATAATTTATGACGAATGAAATTTGGTGCATTAAGGAAGGCTGTAGAAATTTAACAGTGTTTGATTTTGTGAGGGTTTGGACATATTAGTTATGTTTGTATAAGGTTAATATTATATGTGAGGGAGCAAGTTCTGTTACTCAGATTTACTCCTTGTACTGATAGTAGAGATGAATTAGACTGTACAGTTCTGAACGATATGTTAATCTGTAAGCACGATTTAAAAAAAGTTGCTAATTTAAAGATGTACTCCCCTTTCTCCCGGAATAAAAAATTAAATAAATATCACTCTATAGCAGTGTAGACATAATGTTTCACCAATACTTATATTTTGTGCACAGCTGGTAAAATTACCTTTTCTTTTCGAAATTCCTGATTAAGGGGTAACTGTTTTATTCTTTACACCAAAAATATAGCATGTAGTAGAAAAGTGTTTTGAAAGAGATATATGTTTTAAATTTTATATCGGCATACACGGTATAATTAATAATTTTAAGCTTCTGATTTTAATTTTTAGTATAATTGGTAGCATACTTAATTGATGGTGGATAAAATATGAAGTATTTAGTGAGGAAATATTTTCAAAATAAAAATATTAAAGTAACCTGAAAAGGAGCAATTTACACTTAATACTTAAAGGATCATTTCAACAAACTGTATATGAAATATATCTGGACTGGCTAAGCAGGAAAATGTACTTTAAATTGAAAAAACATAATTTATAAATTTAAAATTTAATGTATTTACTACAATGTTTGAGATACTTCTCTATACCATTAATGATCATCATTTTCTCTATTTTGCTCTATGTGTCCATGATAAAATTTTTCTCAAGCTTTCGTTTCATTGCTCTTGCTTAAAAAGCATAAACCGCAGAAGTTCATTCTTCTGTCTGAAATATTACTAGAAATAGTTAATATTTTAGTTAATTTTTGTCGCTCTGATTATGGATGTAAATTTCAGCAAAAATCGAATGAAAGAGAAGAGAAACCAACCAACTTTAAATTACAAAAGTGAGCTTTAGATAGGGATAAATTTAATTTAGTGCAACAATAATAATAAAAATAAAGTATGTAATAAAAATTTAGACTCAAAGTAATTGACTTTCAAATTTAAAAAAAAATCCAATTTTGGTTAATTTCTAATCATAATTTCTGCATCAGTGGCGTAGCTAGGGTGGGGCAAGGGGGGACATCTGTCCCCGGGCGCAGCATTCAGGGGGCGCTAAATTGATGTTACGAAATTTTAGAATGAAATGCTTTCCGTTCTTGGCACAGAGAAAGGGGCGCAAAATCTTCAGTTGTCCCCGGGCGCTGAAAACCCTAGCTATGCCTCTGTTCTGCATAATTATAGCACTCATTAAAAAAGTAGCAGTTAGCTGCAGTAGTCATTTAGTCAGCAGTTGTTCACTTTTATGCCACAAGATGGCGGCACAAAATTAACAACGTATACTGCTCGAATTCTAATGTTGTTAAAATTAAATATACCTCAGATTCACAGGACCATTAAAAATTTTTTTTCATTTAAATTGACTTTCAATATTTGATCAAAAACGTGTTTTTTAGGAAATTTATTGTAAGGGTTTCTTCCTATATGAGTTTTAGAAGGATTATCTAAGGAGCAAATTTTTGTTTACCTTAGTACAACAAAGTGAAAGAATGATAAAGGTAACTAATATTTGCTATATATTTACATTATATTATATATCTACATTATTTATTTATTATGCTTTATTTAATAAGCGAAGCGAAAGGAAATATAAATAGATCCTTTTTTGCTATATTTTATTATTTTAATAGTTTTTAGGTAGAGAAAATGAAATTTAATTTTTTTGCACCAAAATTGGCTACACTATAGTTCTTTTTCCTTAAATATTGAATTTAGTAATATATGTCCTCTTATTTTCAAATTAAGGGAGAAATAATTGTAGCACGAAGGGTGGAAAGATTCTAAAAAGAAAATCTAACTACGAGTATTTGAACGTGTCTCCGAGGTCAAAAATTCCAATCAGTGTTACTGGATCATACTTACCATCAATCTGTTCCCATCTTATACTCATTATCATAATCATCATCATTATCATCATCATCATCATCATCATCATCATCATCCTTATTATTATTATTTAAAGTTAAATACAGAAAGATCCATACTGTAAAACTGGGGAAGATATTTCGACAAAATAAGCCATTAACGAATTAAGTACTAAGAAAGAAAGTGTTATCTTATATATGTAAAAATGTAGTATACTCAAAATGATGTAGTGGCACTAAAAAAGCCACGAAGTTGTACTATTGCACAAGTTTATAATTCAACTGAAAAACAAGTTGCTATTTCTACGCCTCTGTAGTTTAACATCCATATAAGGCACCGCTCTTACTTGTAACGTAGGAAAATAACTCGACTGCTTTTTCCTTTGTAAAATTGAATTTATATCATCATGATTTTCTTCCTGTTAAATTTTTGATAGCTGCACCTTCTGATCTATATCAATTATTTTTTATCTGAAACACATTTCCAGTTTTGACAATTTCTTTGTTATAATCCCTTCTATGTTTGAAATACAGTGTCTTCGAATTTATTGCAATCAGTGTTCTATCATAATTTCCAGAAATACATTTTTAAAAAATTCAGCTTGCCTGATGTTCAATTTATCTCGTTGAGAATGCATATATTTGAATGCCTGATTCGTTCTGATTCTTACTAGGGGGACAGAGAGTAGGGGCTTACTATTAGATAATATTGCACGGGAAAGACGAAATATTACATGAGAATAATATCATATCGGAATGCACATCAACATTTTAATTCAATTTACAGGCTCAAAATTTTCGATAAGCTTTCTTCAGATAATGCTTTTGCATTAATTAGGCAATCATATTCGTAACTACTCCCTCACACTTATATTCAGTCCTAAGGATGCAATTTATTAATTTTATAAGACGGCTCATAATTATAATTGAAAGTATAACAACAAAATTATGAGCATTCGCGAAAATTAAAATCCAAATATTTTCTTTAATAATGAAACAGAACTAAAAATTATGTTTACCTGGTGTGTGAAATATTTCTTCGCCACAATTTTGTGCTCCCCCTCAATCTGCAGAAGAAAATAAGAGAAACGCAAAATAAATGATGAAAGTCGTATTGATAACTTAACGATATTTTCAGTTATAACTAAATTTGGTTCTTTGTAAGCTACAAAGCTGTGGCATTTAAAAAGCACGTTATCAGATCTAACCACTTTTAAAATATTTTTAGGATAAAGTTTAATTTGAACAACTAAAAAGAAATAAAATTCCTATCATGCATCAGTTTGTGCTTTTCATAAGGAGGGCATTTAAGCTTTAAAACTCCTACCATGCATCCGTTTGTGTTTGTTAGTAAGAAGGGCATTTGAACTTTTTAGTGTGAAATAATTTTTTAACTTTATTGATTCTGGTAGAACACAAGCAATGAGACTGATAAATTTTCAGTCATTATTTAGGTACAACTTAAAATAGTCCAGTGCTTACTTGTACTAAATTTTATCTAGTTGCAAATTAATGAATAAAAAATACTGAAAGTAGGTGTTACTAACTGTTCTTGCCTTCTGCAACTAATGAGTGTCGTGTTTTTTTATTTTCAATTTCCTGTGGCAGAAAGAAATGAAGTTACATTAAAAAAAATTGGAATTCGAATTTAGTCTGAAACAGTGTTTCAAGCATATATATATATTTTTTTAATACTTTGACTTTCTTTTACATCTCGTAACGAAAAGACCTGAATATTTCTATGAGAATTCGAAAATGTATTGTCACGAAAGACAGTTCAAACATTACATATGAAATCTTTTGAATAATTTTTAAGCATATGCTAGACTTTGGTCAAAATCATAATAATGAGACAGATAATGGTGTTATCTAAAGACTAAAGGAAACTAATCTAAACATCTTATAATCTTACCATATAAACAACGAGTTAGAAAATGGCTGTAAGCTTTTTCCTTGAAATATTAAACAAATTTCTTAAATAGAACATATAATTTTATGAAAACAGATTCAGCGTTAGAGATGGGAGGATTCTGTAAATATAACAGCAAAATTTTTATATGATGCACGATGATCAAAAATCCAAGTGCTAAAATATTCTTTACTCTGTAATAAATTTCATTTAGAGAAAGCCACATACCTTTACGCCAAATTCGCAGAGAAGTTAACAGTTAACAGTTTCGTGCCGCCAACTACAAAGTTAATAATGCCTGCTGTTTCATTCAACATAAAACTATTAATTTCTAAAAGGAATATTTTTTGGTAGTTTCCTGCTAAATATGATCAAAATCTGATCGGAATTACTTAATCTTCACAAACTGAAATAAATCAGCAATTTCGTTATCGTATATAATAAGTCGTGAATTTTACACCTAAAAGTATGGAACGCTGTGTTATATCGTCTAGTTTTCTTGGCTTGCGTAAACTGCTACTATACGTACTTTAAAGTCTATTATTAGCGACTAATCGCTAAGACTAGAAGACGAATACAACAGAGGAAGGGGGCAAAAAGACCCTTTTATTGAACTGAATTAATTACAGACGGCACAGTCTTTGTGCTTATAACTTCATCATTCACTAAAGATAATGGCTAAATAATGGCAATAAAACTAAACTAAATTTAAAGACAAGCTAGTAATTTAAGACTGCACAAATTAATTTAACGTAGCAGGTTGACTCAGAAACCTGCACCAGCGTGACATTAAGCTTCGGAGGCACGAATTTCGAAGCCGAGATTCAGAACTTAAACAGCTGATAGAAACAATAACGAGCGCACTCAATATCGAAACACGCTGTGACTAACCCTTTACGCTACTTCAGTTCAAATACACTCTCGTTTACCCCATCTCATTTACGTCCTGGTGTGGAAACGCGAGAGAAGACAGAAAAGGTTACAAATTAAAATCCCACATTGTACTTATTAAAGCTTAATAAACATGGGACTACTTGGACCTTTTCCTTTGAAAGAACCACATAAAAAATTAAATATTGTACTTAGCAACTAACAACAGTGTTGAAACAGTTTACATAAAATTCTCTACTTTGTTTGAGAAACTATGCAACACAGTGTACGTGCTTATGATCAATAGTTAAGAGAATGCAGCTTATATTGACCTTCTACGAACATCCTGTATATTTCAAACTATCAGCAAACGAATCATTTCATTTTCCCTTCCAACTCTTATTTAATTTAAATATTTTACATAAAAATATTAGCACAATTACATGAATTGAAATAACAATTAAACCTTTTGGATATTTATTCTCCATTAATTAAGAAATGGAGATTCTTATATTAGTGAGATATTTCTAATATAAGATATCAATATTTTAAGATTTAAGATATAAGATATCAATATTTAAGTAATACAAGAGATTCTTGGAAATTAAATTACAGTATAACTTTCAGATAATCATTCATCTTAAACTCAAAAATTTTTCGGAATTTAAATATTGATATCACATCAATATTTGCGCTAGAAAATATTGATGATGAGAAAGAGTTTATGGCACTACCACAATTTTCTCACATATTATTCATAGTATGTTTTTTAAAAGCATTTTAAGAGGTTTAATTTAATATGTTGGAACACATCAGGCAAAATGTTTGTTGTTATTAAAATCCTTGATCGAAGTGATTTATTCTTATCTCATTCTGCAGCTGCATAACTTTAATTCCTCCTACATACTAACCTGTAATCAATATTATGCTTATATACAATTGCACATCTAATTGCTGATTATAAATTGCACACACTTCAAGCTTTAATTGAAAGGCAGTAAGTAACCCAAAAGTGTTTTCGTATGTGTTAAACAATGTATGAAGATTATCCTTCGAAGTAAAACTTTAGCGCCATTGCAGACTAAATGGATTGTTTCCATATCAAACGACGAATGCCATTCCACACACAAAAATTTTTAATTTTTTTTTTAATTTTCCCACTCATCATTTATCTACAAGATAGTCTGATTATGAAAAAAGGTTTTACTCTTATGACGTATTTCAGAAGTTTTACATTGAGTTTTCTAAGAATTTTTCACCAGACTACTTATAATACGTGTGATTGAAAAAAAAAAAAAAAAAAAAAAAAAAAAAAAAAAAAAAAAAAAAAAAAAACAAAAAAAAAAAAAAAAAAAAAAAAAAAAAAAAACAAAAAAAAAAAAAAAAAAAAAAAAAAAAAAAAAAAAAAAAAAAAAAAAAAAAAAAAAAAAAAAAAAAAAAAAAAAAAAAAAAAAAAAAAAAAAAAAAAAAAAAAAAAAAAAAAAAAAAAAAAAAAAAAGAGGTTTGAAGAAAAGAGCATATGTCTTTATAACAAATATTAGAAGAAGAAATTGAGCCTAAAAGAAAACAGCTTTACTGAGGATATATTTTCAGTTAACCACCAAGACTTTTTCATTGCAAAGTTTACACTTGTTTTACTCTGGTCTTACCTCCATGCTTTGAATGAGGCGGTCTAAGGCAGCCTCTGCTAGTCCTTCATTCTCAAAAGATCTTGCTAAGGCGTCAATTTCACTTTCTCGAGTGGCACCAGGACAATCAAACATATGCTCCGAATCACACATGCAATCCTCCGAAGCCTGATATTCTCGACTAAAAGCAGCTGTATTCACAAAATCCTCAAGACAACCATCTTCCGCTGAAACGAAGTAGAAAGACTTATTTTTGAATGTCAAATAAATTGAGGCTCACAGATATAACCAAAGTTTGGATCTTTTCGATCGTGACGTTTTCAATAGGCTTGGAAGACATTCTTCGAAATTAAATTACAATATAATTTTCAGATAATCATTCATCTTAAACTCCAAAAATTTTTCGGAAGGTTTATTTTGATCCTATCGTAATTGCAACACTAATATCTAATTTACCTTTTTGTCACTCAAATATTTTTCTAAATAGAACCAGAGGTAGTGTACATCAATAAGTGGTTTTTTTTTTTTTTTTTTTTTTTTTTTTCATAAACAGAGTCATCCAAAAGTCGCGCCCATCAAATTTTCAAATTTGAATTCATTTTCAAATTCAAATTCAAATTCAAATTCAAATTTCAAATTCAAGTTCATTTTGAAATCTCTATAATAGAGATTTCAAAATTAATATTAATGACAAAATGTTTCAATGGATGACACCCCTGTATCGTTACAAGCAATATATAACTTGAAATTTTAATTTCAATTTATTTTGTCAGCTTTAAAAACTGTTTGTTTGATGCAAGATGGAAATGAGTTTTTCCCAAAGCCGAAAGAAATTTTTTGATTAGACATTACTTCGTAAAGCATGTTTTCAGTAAAGGTCTTGAAACATTTAAAGCGATCTTTCCGGATGTTCGTGAGCACAATAAGACAATGATTTTCCACTTGGAAATCTAATTTCGAGAAATTACAAGAGTTCATCATAAGAAATAAAATGGTAGCCCGTCTGTTCTGAGTTTGGACAAAATGGATGAAGTTTGAAATAAAAGGATCCGAGTACCAATAAAGAGTGGAAGAAAAATGGCAAATCGTGATCACATTTATGCGTTGCCAAGTAACGCTCAGACATAAAAATTCGTTTTGCTGGGGAAAATCTCATCTCCATTTTCCGCCAAACAAATTGATTTTAAAGTAAACATATTAAACTGCAAATGAAATTTCAAGTGATTTATTTGTGACAGTGTTTTACTTGTGATTACAAGTGATTTACTTGTAACAGCGTAACGGTGTCATTTTTTTGAAACATTTGCCATTAATATCCATTTAGAAATTTCCAAAATTGTTGAAAGCTTGATATGCGCGACTTATTGATCACCTTGTATAAATCAGTAGGAAAAAATTTTATGGCCAGCTATATTGATGTGTAACCAAGGCAAAAGAGGAGATCGTAAAGCACAACATAGTAAAACCAAAGAACGTTCTTTGGTAAAACCCATCTTAAAGCCCTAAAACGCCCTAAGTTTTCAATCTTGAAGACAAATCTTCTCAAATTTGGAGATGTAGATCACACAATACATATTTCAAATGGTTCTCTGTAAACTAATGATTTAAAGATGTGTTCGTCATATCTTCGAATTAGTTGCAATACACGTCAAATTAACTGGAATACACACCAACCCAGTCGGTTAACTCCACGACGCCTGTGTAAATGCATTGCGTCTGGATTAAAAATTCTTTAATTTTCATAACTAATCTTCTATTTTGCATATGATGTGAAGTGGCGATATGGTTTCCTAATTTTTAATTATGGTAGTTATGCAAATTAGGAAAAATTATGGATACAATTTAGGAAAGTCATAATTGTTGAGTTTCTCGCCCTAAATGCTGGCGTAAGTACCAAGTGTGCCTTCTTTTCAGCTTATTTAGTTTTAAAAAACGGGTCTACTACACACATTTCTCAAGCTTCTGTTGTACTTCAGACATAGCGATAAATCGCTTAATGTCAACCAAAAAGGTTGATCACAGTTTCCAGCAGTGAAAGACCTCTAAACCTTATAATGCCATAAATTAAGGATTTGCTGTGTCTTAGCATATATAAACATTTTATTTCAATTTTAAGCATTTCAGATCAAAATTTTATTCAGTAGAGTGTTTTAAATCTCCATATGGGAATTCAGGATGAGAATACGCTTTTTCAATGCAGTATGTGCTCGAAGCGGTTCACTCGCGTTGATAATTTAAGGATTTATGAAGAGGTTCCTCTTCAAAATTTTACTTTTGTGGTGTATTTATAAGTTTTTCTGAAAACATACACCTTAAACCTCAAAAAAAGGGCTTCCAGATGTAGTTTATGTCCTAAGAGTGAAGCTGATAATTTAAAGCGTTATGAATCCTTTTCTCTTAAATCGTGTACTGAATGTTCGGAATTTTTTGATGTAAAAGGAATTTAAGGAGATATGAAATTCAGGAAGTTATTTTTAAGTGCAGCTGTCATGCTTAGAGATATTTAGTTAATTTGATAATTTAAAACAACATGAAGCTTCTCATCTCACAAGTTGTATAGAATGCTCAAACATGTTTTAAGTTTTGAGATTTGAGCTTTAAAGATTTTCAAAGTTAAGTTTGATAATTTTTTTTAAGAAACATAGGAATTTTATTTATAGTAGCTGCTGAAAGAGCTTCTCAAGTGACTATGTTTTAAATGAGCATGAAAATTCTGATCCATGGGAATCGTATCTAATGTTAACGAGTGTTTAAAAAGAAGTCATCTTTTAATATCGCATTCGAGTTAAACGTGATTTGATGCGAACTGTGAAAGAACGAAGAAATATTGACCCTATGAATGCATGCAAGCTTCTTAAACTTGCTTGTAGCTGTCAACAATAATCAACGTTATGCCGTACCGAACTATCATCCTCAGCTGCAAAATCTTTTGCAGCTGAGGATGATGGTTTTAGTCCTGTGAAAATTTCAAAATATAACGGCTGATTTTTATTGTTTGACTTCTAAATTAATACTTGTTCGGCGTGTTATTGTATCTTAATCTAATCTCTTATCAAACTGTAATATTATCTTACCAAGCAGCTACTCATATCTCGTCCCGCTATCCGGTTCTGCTGCGCCTGAACCGGCTGTTTCATACTACTTTTATTCCGAAATCTATTATAACATTATCTACAATTAATTCAATTTTCTCAGAATTCATAAGTTCTGTAATTATAAATCAGCTATAGAGAGCCGTACAGAGTAACGGGATACTCTCTGATGCTTTAATTCTTATCAGTCACAGACAGGAGAGAACTTTTACCTGTATGTCCAAGGGCGAAGGATTTGGTAGATTATTCTATCCCCCAAATCCTTGGCCCCTTGGATATGCAGATAAAACCAACAGTATTTTTACCTGTATATCCGAGGGGACAAGGATTTGGTGGATTACAATATGCAGGAAGGCCCGAGTCGGATTTTACGACTTCTACATTCTTGATGCTGCCATCAGGTTTCAGTCGCTGGTGACCTTCGCCAGCACCTCCTGTAAAATTCATCAATTTAAGACTCTTTTTTTAAAAAAAAGGTTACATTTTTAATTAATAAATAAATTATACGATTAAAAACTATCCTCATCTCCTTCCCATCTTTTTTTATTCTGCCATCATTTGGGAAAGACTCTCAGCAAAACTTGCCTTTGATGAATTTTAGCATTCCATGTAAAACATTTAAAGACATCAGACACAAGAGGGAAAATTAAAATAAAGCAGTTGCTTAACTGGGAACTTAATTACCGAGTGCTCAACTGAAATAGCTTGAAGAATGAATAGTTGTTTATATCCCTATTACTTGTGTTAGAGTTTCAGAGTAGACACTAAAAAAGTTGCCATCACTGCATAGTGAGTTCTGAATTATCTATAAATGTTATGTAAAAATCAGGTTGTTATTGCAATGAATGTTGATATCACAATTTATTACAATGAATGCGGATTTAAACAGGAATTATAATAACTAGCAACGACCTGGAAGACGCGGTCTAAATTCCCCTCTTTTTTAAATATGAATTCACAATTTAATATGCAGTGATGTAGGCATACTAATTCACAACTCAGTACGTAGTGATATAGGGAAAATTCAAAACTTTGGTTACATTTGCTTTTTCTCATTTCCTTTTGCTGTTTTTATCTAACAGTTAAACACCTTATTTTTCTTCAGTTCGCTAGTACTTGACTCTGTAGGTAAGGGTTGATAGGGCTAATCGGAAATTCGGGAAATTTCACTAGATGCTGTTTTGTTACCTGATACCGATGATTTAAAGAAAATGAAGCATTAATCGTCATTGTATAGCTCATGCAAAAAAAAAAAAAAAAAAAAAAAAAAAAAAAAAAAAAAAAAAAAAAAAAAAAAAAAATTGATAAAGTCATAGGTACAAAAGTATTTAATGACATTTTAAAAAAATTGAATGGAAAACTATCGGGAACAGTGTTAAACTTAACGTTTTAAGCCCTTCGTCATTAGTTCGTCCCAAACTCACAACTGTTGGATCTAATTCTTTACTCTGTTACAGCAAGGAATTTTCCTGTTCCGCCCCTTGGATAATTTTATAAAGTATTACAAATATATACCCGCACCTTTGTATGCAAGTACGCAACTGTTTGCCAAAATTAAGACCTTCACATAGGTGTCCTGGTAGCCTTGAGGAGGACTTGCTTTCTTCATGATACTGAGCTTCATAAGGAGATTCATAAGGATGCTTCATAAGGGTGTCTTAATTGTCAGGGTACCCTTGTGTCTTGCTGTGCGAAAGTCAATTTGAAAAGGTTCGTACCTTTGTGCAAGTAGGCAGGCCTTAATGAGGGATAGTGTACTCACGATACGGTTCTTTCCCATTTATCGCAAGAACGTTCAGAGAATGTTCGATGCAAATACTTCTGTTACGTGCCGGGAACGTTGATAGCACATTTTACCAGAACGTTTCTGGATGGTTCTGCAAGAAATTTCTAAACCAGGTATATATGTTGGAGTTCAGCAACGGACAGTAGAAGTTCAAATCGTGGCACTACTACCATTTTTGTATAACGTTCCTAGAATGTTCTATGAAAGCTCCAGTATCATTCTAGCAGAATGTTGCTTTAGCGTTTGGAATCACATCAACAGGACGTCAATAGATCACGTTTCGTAATGGAAAGTATAATACTACAAAGTATTACTATTAACAGTTTTGTGAAATATTTGTAGAACGTTGTATGAATGTTCTTGTAAAGTTCTAGTAGAACGTTCCGAAACACATGTCGAAAAATACCAGTGTTTTGCGTTAGAATGTACGGGTTAATAACACGATTGTAACAAGTACTGCTTTAGCACAAACTGTAGAACGTATTTTATGGCACATTTTGGGAACGTTTCGAAAAGTACCAGTGTTTCATGTTGAAATGTACGTCCTAAGAACATGGTTGTAACACGTACCACTTGAGTAGGTTCTGTAGGACGTACTTTACAGCATAAGCATGTTTCAAAAAGTACCAGTGCTGTACGTCGAATTGTACGTATTGTGAACATTCCATTACTGCTTGGGTCTTTGGGCCTTTACGCCATGAATTCCTTGCGCTTCACGAAAGAAAGTTAACTTGAAAAGGTGACTACATTTTTTCTTGCGTTGCTCGCCCACGTTAGTCCAACCCCATCGGCCTTGTTAGGTGACAATTACGATTTTGTTTTGGAGAACCTTCTACCTTGACTGTAAGTACCAAAGGCTTATAAAGACTATTAATTAGCTTCAGAGCTAAAAAAATTCTTGTTAAACAGCTACCACTTAATCTTAGCAATCCTTTGCTCATTTAAAGATGATAAAAGTTTTTCCAAAGAGCACTTAATCTTAAAACGATGGGGAGTTAGGAGATTAAAAAGTGTAAATAATGACCTTTCTTTCCCTAAAGAACACAATAAAATAAAAATCAATGTATTTTCTTGAGATAAAAAAATAAGAGCTGTAGAGTCAGAAGGAATTTCTAGTAATAAAAATGTCTTCAGAAATACATTTTGCCTTCTCCCAGAATAGAACTCGGAATTTCGAAGTGGGCGGTTTGATGAGCTAACCGTTGTACCACAATAATACATGTGAAAAATGCCTTTAATTACTTACAAAGAATGTAATTAAGAAAAGCATCACAATTTTAAAGAAATGTTTCCAACTTTACAGCTTGGAGCTTAAACATTGATTTGTAAGACCTAGTCTTCATTGTTAACATACACTGCTACTAGACGTACTTGAAAGTTTATGTAGTGACTTATCGCTAAGACTAGAAGATGAATACAGCAAGGGAGGGGTATAAAAGACCATTTTATTGAACTCAAGTTATTTACAGATGGCATGGTCTTACGTGCTTACGATTTCACCATCCACTGGTGAGCTAAGCTAGTAGTTCAAGACTACACAAATTAATTTAACCTAACAGGTTGACCCAAAAACATACACCGGCGTGATATTAACTTCGGCGGCACGAATGCGAAGCCGAGATTCAAAATTCCAACCACTGGTAGAAATAACAACGTGCGCACTCAACAGCGAAAACACGCTGTGACTAACCTTTTCGCTACTTCAGTTTAAATACACCCTCGTTCATCCTAACTCATTTACATCCTGACAAAGAAACGCAAGAGAAACAAGAAGTGATCGAAAAGGCTAACAAATTAAAATAAATATTTTTAAAAATGATATAAACCCCTATAGATTAATCTCAGTTTTTTATTTGGTTATCTCGTTCTGAATTTACTCAAGAGAGGAATCATTAGCTTGTAGGGTTTATATTTATTTTAACTAACATTTATTTTAAGTTTAAACTATCTTTCCTGTCAAGCCTTACTTTCCGCTGGAATTGCCAATGCCAGAGTATGTAAATTTTAGTAGAACGCGCAAAGTATTCAAATTGTCAGCGGAAGTAATTTGAGTTGAATAAAAAGGGATTTAAACCCTTCTCAAGACTTTGTGTACTTTCCAGTTCATAGCAGTCGCCACTATTGTTGCGTGCAGGTTGCCGCACAACATTACAAGCTGAAACAAGAGGTAGACTAAATATTTCTCTCTCTATTCATTGTAGCCTGACTTTTTAAGAAAATTGCTCGGTTTAGGCTTTAAAAGACAAAAGAGTAGAGTTTGTAATTTTGATCCATTAAATTCATTCTTGTGATTATTTATTTATCTAAAATTACTTTAATTCTAATGAATATTTATGTGAAAGTACTTTAATGAGAATTAGTTTTTTTTTCAATTGTTCAATGCTTTGCAGTACTTCTATATTATCCAATTTATAAGTTAAAACTCAAATATTTAATAAACAATATTCAATTTGTTTCCAAATCTTGCCATTCATTGTTAAATTAAGGGAAACGAATCTCAGAGAAAATTATGGAGTGATAATTGCTCAGTTATTTATTAAAAGCAGCACATAAAGTCGCTGCTAAATCTCATGCGAAATTTTGATTGACTTTCAAATGAATCACAGAAAAACAAGAATCTTGGGTGTCTGTCTTGAAAATCGAACAACTTGAATTGATTTCAAAAAGAGAGTATTGAACAAATGTTCATGAAATGTTTTTGAAACGCAATAGTTTTTAACAAATCTTACTAGAAATACAACGATGTTTTGGTTTAATAATTAATTTAATTTTATTATAACCTCTTTTCCTTGTGCTTTAAAGCATGCACTCTGCACAGTTGTTTCTTACCTTGCATGTATTGGTGACCAAATAATGATGAATGTTCTAAGTACTCCTGGTCTCTAATTGAAGGCTCTCTACCAAGAATTGCATCCCTTCTTGCTTCAAAAGCTCTTCCAGGAAAATCTTTGAGGTCGTGCTCATCCTGAGGAGCAAATTTAGGTGGCAGGCCATAATCATCAAAGTTACCACCAAGAGCATCCTCTGGACTCGCCATTCTGCTCATGACTTCTCGTAGTAATGTATCTGTGAAGGAGTCCAGTTGATCATATCCACTGGCTACAGGGAGCAGGAACGCGGCCAAATAGGCCAAAAAGTTAAAAACTGAAAAAATCATCCTGAAATTAAAGAAAATTAAAGTTAGGTCTGCTTTTATGAAAAGTTTCGACTATTTCGTCATAAAACATGCTTGAATTAATATATATACTAAATATCGAATTTGTAATAGCTATTTTTATTGACTGATTTAAATTTATAACACTGTCAAATAGCCCGAAAAGCGAATCACTGAAAAAAATCATCCGGAAATTAAAGAAAATTAGTATTAAAGTTAGGTCTGCTTTTAGGAATTCGATTTTTTTTCACTGGTGTACTGGTAAAAGAAGGTCTTCGCTCCCCCCCCCCCATTGAAATCGTATGCTGTATTGTATATTTTCGGTCTAAATTCAACCGAAAGGATGCTGACCTATTTCTTAGTTTTTGTTGGAAATTTAAGTCCAGTCGGAGCCTCAAATAAGTATAGGTCCTGTATTTTATTTTATTTAACTATTTAAAATTAATTAAATTTTTATTTATTGAATTTTATTTTATTTAATTATTTTAATTATTAGCCCAAATTTCGTTTCGGCATTTTGCGTTGGTTCACTATAAATGTCGGTTCACTTTTCAAATTGTTACCACCAAATATTAAAGCCCTGTATTATATTTAAAGAAATTAAATAATGAAGAAGCTGCGTAAATTTATGTATATTTATCGCATTGTGACAAAACAACGGTACCTAGAGCCATCAAATTTCGAATAACGTACGTTTCCACTCGAATATGGGCATCTGGAAGCCCAAATTTGGAATCTGGAATCTTTTTTATCATCTACTTCATATTTTATAAAACTTTAACGAATTTTTGATTAACAAACTCAACGATTTCAAATTTCAAAGCCAGCAATGGCAACACTGTACTTAAAAAAAAAACCCTATATCTCCAGCGCCCGAGACTGTGTATCGGAAATTCTAAACATATGCTCATTTAAAAATTATTTTGTGATATTGCTGTAGAGCTGAATTTTATGGTTTAAGTGCGAAGAATATGATATTTAACAAATAAAGATAACACACAAAACATTAAAAAAATCCCCCTTGGGCGTAATGTAAAATCTGAATGCTTTTTGATTTTTTTCTCTTTTTAGTTATTTTATTTCTTTATTTTTTTCATTTTTTCCTAATAGCCTTCCAGAAGGCTCCGGCACTTCTGATTTTAGAAATTAAACCCTGATTTGATAGCTGTCTTTACTCTACCTTGTATTACACGCCTAAACTATATTTCAAATAAATTCATCCTTACTTACGAAAATTGCTTTCTGTATAAAGTTTATTCCAGTATGTCACTGAAGCGTTAAACAAACACTCAATCAACCTATATAACCCTCCAATGTTAAATAATTTAATTGAACAAGTAACCCATATATTTAACAATGCAACATTTAAATAGTTATCACAATTATTCAACAACAACTTTCAATACATATTTATTTAGCTAATATATTTATATATGCTCGGTGTTATTTTGATGAAACATTCCGTAAATTTTAAAAAATAATTTGTACTATATTTCATTTAATAATCAGTTAGTTCCTGAAAGTACTGAAAGTCACATCTATTCAGAGAGATGCAAAAAGGTCCTCACACAGTGCTTGCGTGATGAGAGATTAACTTGCAGCAAGAAATGAAGCTATGTTATATTTGCCTTGTTGCATCATTTATTGCATTAGGAATATAAATAACTGCATATAGCAATTTGGCCTTTTCACGCTTTGAACAAACTGTAGAGTTTTCTAATGGCTATTCGAGTAGTCACTGATAAGCCACCCTTCCGAGGACGAAAGAGGTCCTTGTCAAAATTGTAATACATTTTAGGTATATTAGCATAATTTTACTTGAATTAAGCAGTATAATCTAATTTTAGAACATAAAGGAATATCACATTTTGAATCGAATCATAATTCACTCACATTCTATTTACTTCTGAGAGTATTGTAAACTACTCTGAGATGGACAATTATATTGCGATTTTTTTTTATCCTTCCTTTCACAATAAGTATGAAGCTATAAGCAGACTTTATTTTAGCCAATGATTCGAGATATTTATTTTAATATGTCATTATATTCCAATATTTCATACATAAGTAACAGTCGAAAACATGAGCATATAAAAATATAATTTGGAAATGTGAACTTGATCCAAGTTACATCTCGTAATGACTAGTACGATAATCGAATGGTAGATGAGCTTATCTTCAAGAATCGGCACTCATAAGAACAGAAGTTCAATAACTATTTTCAATAGCTATTATTGATTCCATTTTTTATCGATTAACCCCCTTTAATTTACCCCCTTCCCGAATCGTCTGAACTCTAGCTATATTCCTTGCGAAAATTACTGCGTTAGATATATGATTTTAAGCAGCAGGATAAGCGTAGCACTACCAAATGTAATTTACTTAGTAAAAAATTTAAACGAAAATGTAACGAAACATATGACCTAAAGGAACTTTTAAGGTAAAAAAAAAAAAAATAGCATCTAAATAAAACAACAGTTTCTCAGCTGTTTCAATTACTTAATTACTAATTTTTTTAATGAGTCATTTTTTAAGATAAACAGTCGATAATAACTAAGGGCAGAATAGTAGCTGATTTGAAAACATGGAAATACAAATGACTTTATCAAAAAGAAATGTTATGTTGCGTGTAAGCTATTCTGCAAATTTAATTGCGAATTCTACTCATAAAAGGTATGGCATTAATTAACTACTCATGATACAACTGGAAAAGAGGAAATAGGTTTCATTGCAACTAGAGGGAGGATAGGTATGACAAACGCATTTTATTTCAAGTTATCTCTCCCCCCCAGTAAAAAAGTGGATATGATGAATATGATTTTTTTTTTCAATCTAAAGAAATAGATATGGCCAATAAGATTTTTTCTAGTCACATCTTTTAATGGTAGAAAAAAAATCACATTTTTTTTTTTAAATTTCATGTAAAATCTTCCAATTATTGAATTATGTTATCTTGAGGAACTGTTGGGCGGGTGTTCATCGTCTATTCACCCATCAATCAAACAGACGCATTAATTATTTAATTTCATATACTGTACTGAAGTACAGCAAAGAGCGACGAAGAAATAATAAACGTACAATTTTATGGGCTTTTTACAAGTGAATTTCCATTAAAACGATACATTGAGGCATATCGAAATTCCGCGTTTAAGCAAAATAATACGTACGATTATGATTAAAATTTTGTATTAGTAATTTTTTAATATTGTTGTGTTATAGCACATACAAAAGTGAAATATGTTAACTCGTCACAGAAATCGTCATAAAAATTATCAAATTTATGTCAGAAATGGTCTCAAAGAATGCTATATCCATCCAATTTTCGACTGTGAGATTTACAGGTGACAGGTGACGGAGGACGGGGACGCCTGAAGTTTAACAGAGGTTAACAGGCATATGTCCCGCGTCCTCCCCTGGAGTTTATTTAACAGTTATAAGTGTGGATACATGGCCATACAGGGGCAACTGTTTAACATCTGGCATTTGAAGTACATTTGAATTAACATACAGGCACGGTTAAAAAAAAAAAAAAAAAAAAAAAAAAAAAAACTTAATAGGTTATAACAAAAGAAGAAAATTAAACACCTAAAAATGCTGTTCAATTTTCTTCTGCTCCCTATGCAGTCAGAGATTAGATGGTAGAGCATTAAAGTGCATATGTCAGCGCGCAAGTAATGCATGTAAGCCCTATTACTCTGGTTGACAGAGGTCTTGGCCATATGCTGCAATGGTGGTTATTATTTTGCAGATTTTATTTATGGCCGCTCTGTTTTTGGCTAGGAACTTGTGAAATGCTGAGATATTGGCTGGTATCGGGAAGTGGAACTGTTCCGTGAGTGGGCACTGAAAGATGTAATGATCCGGTGACCCCTCACCCCCGCAAACACAGCGATCCGTGGTTGAGATGGTGCGGCGGCAGAAGTAATCCGGGAAGGGACCATGACCAGTAATGAAGTTGGTAAGGGGAGCAATTGCCATAAGGCGCTCCGTGGTTACTTTTGGCAAGAAGCTATGTGCTCTTCTTCCCGTGTCGCCCTGATCCCATTCTCTTTGCCACCACTGGATAGCGGCATTTCGCAGTTGACTTTTGAGGAAAGATGGTGGTGCTGATACTGATATCGGTCTGGCATTTTGGTTCGAAGCAGCCTCTTTAGCGAGTTCATCCGCTGTCTCATTACCCATGTTACCTGCATGGGCTTTAATTCATACTAGGTCAACATGTGCGTGCCGATTATCTTTTAGGATATGCTGCAGTCGTATGATCAGTGGGGAGGCGTGACTATGTTTGTCAAGAGCGAGCAGTGTCGACATACTGTCTGTATAAAGCTGCACATGTGTGATGTTGTTGAGCGCCACGTATTCAATGGCAGCTGTTATGGCAACTACTTCTGCTTGAAAAATGCTATTATTTGGTTTGAGGTACCCTTTCCAATGGTGTGCAGCATGGCCTTGCCTGTAGTATATAAAGGCACTACCTACACCCTCAGCAGTTTTCGAGCCATCTGTGTAGAACGCGTGCATATTAGGGTTTCCTTCTGGTTGACTTCGTGACGGTTTGAGGATAGTGTGAATGCCTAGTCCCTTGTGTGCTGGATGCGTGTGGAGAGGAGTACATGGATGTTCGTAATTTGCAGGGCTATGTAAGGTGCCTGCAAAGGTTGCGTCTTTCTGTAGATGTATTATTTTAGTATATGTGGCCTCTAGCTCCGCTTGGATATGAAGTGGTATGATGCCTGCCAAGCTGAGTGCTGCATAAGTTGCAGTGGTGCGGTAGGCTCTGCATAAGCCTATGGCGAATGGGCGCTGTAGTGATAGGAGTTGCTTAACCTTGCGTGCGGTCATGGGTTGTGCCCATATAGCTGCCGCATAGAGTGCCACCTTCTCAGCTACAGTTTTATAAAGTACCTTTTGAATGTGGGGATTCCGTCCCCAGTTCCGGCCTTGGAACTGTCGTGATCTCCTGGCAATTGCAGATGTTTTAATCTTTTGTGCCTGGATATGCGGAAGCCAAGTCAGACCTGGGTCCCATATTACCCCAAGGTATCTTAAAGTTTTTACGACCTTAATATTCCGGCCTTGTAGTTTGATACATGGGCTACGTGTTGGATTTGTACCCTTTCTTGGAAAGATGATAGCAGTGGACTTTGTGGTGGATATTTTGAGTTTTAGCTCTTCGCAGAGGTTGGCAAAGATAGTGCATGACTCACTGCCATGGGCTTCAAGCTCAGCGCGTGTGCGGCCTCTGACCAGTAATGCCGCGTCGTCCGCGTATGCAACTAACACAGTATGTTGTGGCCACCTTGCCTCTAAGACTTTATTAAAGGTGAGGTTCCATAGCAGAGGCCCTGCACAGGACCCCTGTGGACATCCTCTCACTTGTGTTATTGAAACAGTACTACTGTTGTTAGAGATCATCAGTTGCCGGTCTGCCAGATAGTTGTCCAGAACTTGATAGATATTTCTTGGGCATCTTGCCTCTCTGAGGAGTCCTTAATGATTTCTTATTAAATGTAGGAATTAATTGCGTAGTCTCGTATCCTTAAAACTACTTCTTTCGGAAAGCATAAACGCGAAACTGCTCAAAGCTTTCTACAGGCTTCTAACCGACTTCATATTAAAGTAGGAATTTTGTGGCCGTAACAAACTTATTGTTAGTACTTGCTTTCATGGATATGGGAAAACAAGATTAATCTTTTAACTTTCGATTTTTGAATGAAAGATATTCGTAAAGTATGTGGGAAAACTTAAAATGGTTAGATAAGCTGTGTCTGATAGCATTATCAATTTCAGTAATATATTAGCTGAGAGGAAAACAAAAAAGAAGTGAATGGAAAAGTGAAATTTATGAAAGTGTATAACAGAAAATTTTGTTAAAGAGATCAACTGTATCAACTGATCAACTGTATGAATAAATATTTAAGCAGCATTAACTGTGAGGAAAATTATCTTTTCTCCCTACCGTCCCCCCCCAAGAAAAATACATGATATTTTGCCCTATTCATTAAATATCAGATTTAAAGGATACATTTTCTTCCTCAGACAGACATTAGAGTATAGAAAATTTCAGTTTCATACTTGTACACGAATGAAAATTTGCCCGATTTGTTTTGAAATCTTTGAAATCATTTTATCGGTCTTTTAAAAAAAATCTGACATTGTTAACCCGGAGAAAATCAGAACTTCTGTATAAGCTAAACTGAATTACATATGCACAAGCTTATTAACTGAATTACATATAAGTATAAGGGGGAAAAACAGGAAAATGTTTTCCCTTTCTTAACGCAAATAATTTAATCTTTGATAAATTGCTAGTTGTGAGAAAATTTTCAACTGCTTTCGAAAATCTTTATCATAAATTAAGTAATATAAATATTTAGCAAGAGGCTTGCGTGTCCATCATATGTTGAATGAGCTTATAATCTTAGCATATATATAATTATTAGTCTAAAAATCTGTCAGTACTTTCATGAAAAGTAATGCCATTTTCAAAAAGCTACTCATTGAATTATGAATATATTCCTATATGAAGCGTACAATGCAGTGTCTCAATTATTCTGTAACATATTATTTTCATATCTCGTGCAATATCGAGGATGAAAATAAGTATTCTGTTATCTATGTTCTACGATGTCTAGGATTCCTTACTAAAGGTATCCATTATGAAGATCATTAAAATCAAGAAAATAATTGTCATTGCATAGAAATAAGAATATGTGCACCCAAAGTATGTGTAGGTAATGCACAGTGTTTTCTCTCATTTCTTTCCGTTCTCATACATTCTTCGGTTTTTCATTCTGTTTTCTACCAGTGACAGTACTTTTCGTAGCAAAATTTAACTGATCAGGAATGAAATGAATTATATTATGTTAAATGGAGAAATATAAATTATATTCGTAGAGAGATGTGTGTTTGCACCATATCTCTACGTGTGATGTACATTTTATGGAAAAACTTCCTCCACTGCTTTCAGCTATACGCTAGTCCCTATATCTACCTATTACAAAAATATAAATTCCTTATTAATCCTACAATAAAAGAAATATGTTTTGCAGTAAAAACAAATGGTCACTTGTCTGTTAAGAGTGCAAGAAAGAAAGAACTCCTCTACAGCCCTGAATATTCCACTTCAATCTAGCATGGAGGTAGGAAACTTCCTACCTCCATGCAATCTAGCGATCGCGGAATCCAAAAGCAATTTAAATATTAATGATATGCATCGGTTCTTCCTAAAATCCTTTCTTGCACACAGAATCACTTATGCAGTAAAATTATGGCATAAATATTGCAACCGCTTATAGTTAAGGAGAACTGGAAACGCTTACCTGTGGCTTATGTTTGTCCTTCTTTGATGCTTTGACCCACAAGGACCAAATATGGCGTAAAGACGTATCATGCGCCTGCGCCGATCGATATCGTCGCCGCAGACGACCATCCTGACAACGGCACGCGTCTTATACGGGTGGAAGAAAATTGCCGACTCTCCATCACCTGCCGAATGCTATTAATGCATTTGCTTGAGATTTCTCCCTGGAGCTTCTTCCCGTTTCGATCTGTTTCCGCAACTTGAACCTCTCTAGCTTCTCTTAGAGAAATCCTATTTTTAGATGTTATTGCAATACTCAGATAGAGACTGCATTATTTAGCAAATGCAGACTATAAATTCGTAATTCTCTATAAATATTATTTGGTGTAAAACTGGAAACTGAATTAATCGGGCTGCTCAGAAATTGATTTTTTGCTGCACAAATAAAATTTTCAAAGGTTGAATAATAGATATCAGCGATAGTTTTTAAAGTTATTCTTTATCCAAATTAACTATTCTCTATAAAGGTATTCTATATTTGTTAGATATTTTCTTCCTTCTTACCGACTGCCTTCGTAATGTAGCTGAAAGCATGTCTGGCTTGCAGTTAGGAGGTCTGGTACTCGAATCCCTGCTAGGACAGTGCACATTTTTCATGTCTCCTGCTCAAAAAAAACTTATGACTCTCCATATCCTATGACACGAAATGGTCTCGAATGCCAGATATCGTATGCTGCAAAGAACAGCAACTGTAACTAATTGAATACAAGATCAATGTAATTGATCAAGTTCTATTTCATGCAATCTCCAAATCTCATTCATATTGTTTGTGTGAAAGTCGTATAATCTTGATAAAATATTTGGGACAATTTTGCATACTATGAATTGGTTTTCCCCCTAAAATGTTTAGTAATATATTAAAAAATTTATTTGTCGGAAATGCCTTCGTACAGGGTGTGTATAAAAACTCATATTTTAAATATTTTTCCTGAAAGGTGTCACGCAACCAAAATTTTCGTAAATCTGAAGATCTTTGATTCTAATGAATCAGATATTGATTCATTTCTTAACTAGAGCGATGTATCCGCAACGAAGACCTAAAAAAGTACTTAGTTTTGCAAGCTTTTAAACATCACATATTTTACCATGTTTTAGTTTATATCCTTTCTCAGTTGACACTTTTAAGTTTTAGCTAAGCTAAAATGACGAAACGTTCCAGATTGCCCAGGACAGACCCGTAATTTAGTATATATTAAATATTAGCATATATTTCAGAAAATGTCCCCTATGCAGACTCCTTTCTTCAGGAATACTTCCCCCTTCCTCAAAAATTATTTTAAACATCCTATTCAGACGGGAAATCACATAGCTCGTCTTTCAAAATACGCTGAAACTGTTCTCTTGAAATAAAAACCATACAAAATTTTACTAATTACTATTACAGCCCATCAAAATGCATTTTTTTTGAATTGTGAAAGCACATTACGAATTACTTCTGCTTAAATAATGCAACCATACCAAAAGCAGGGCAGTTTGTTTTTACGGTGCACGCAAAACTTTTGATAGACCGTTTAATTAATTCATTGTTTAAAAAAATTATCTCGTGGTAATATTTAATTTATGATCATTATTTTCAGTTCGTTAGTTATAGAAAAAAAATTGGAAAAGTTTAAGTCAAATGATCATGTCCAAAATCTTGTCCATATATAATAATATAATCTATATCATCTTATCCAGATAAGATATCTCTATCATTCTCATTGATTCAGTTTTATATGAATTTCATACATTCTAAGCATATGCAGTAGTCTCTTATATAAAACTTGCTCTAATGTAAAATATTGGCATATGATACAAATATGCATTAGAGCTTGAGTCTATGAGAAAAACTCGTTAAAATTAAGTAAGCAGTTTAAATTAAGTAAGCAATTTAAATTAAGTAAGCAGTTTATTTGAATGTCAAGCTTTCAAGAACTGAAACAGAAAAAAGCATAGTTAAAGGACCGAAAGCAGAAATGAAAACAGCAATATAATAATGATAATAATAATAATAAAAACCAGCATCCTTCAACCACGCAACTACAGTCTGCTCATAGTAATAAATTTCCTGACGGATGCTAAGTAATTAATTCAAATATTTGATTATGTGAGTTTGAAATAATTTCTTTTTCGCGAATTTTCTTTTCCGCAAATTTAAAGAAGTTCGACACAGTTATAATAAAAAATCTGGATAATTTAGTTTCGCGATGAATTGATTAACTTTTAAATTTTATTTATATTAAATATATCTGTTTACATTTAATCTACGCACTTAGAAACTACAGGATTGCAAAGATCATGGTGACCTTCTGCTGCATACGACCACTTCCGAAAAAATAGATCTGAAAAACATAAACAAACATCTGTATCGTAACTGCTAACCTTATATCGAAAGTGTTTCTGCGCTGCGCGGCGGACTCAATTTCAAAAGAAATCTAAATTGACAGTTTTGAATTTAGCCTCTTTATAACGCATTATTTGGTCTGTTAAACTAGCATTACGTGATTTTGATACAAAACATTTTTTAATTTCATATCTAATTTAATATTCCAAATTTTAACTTTTTTTTTTTTTTTTTTTTAAATTTTACTGAAATATTGCATGAATGAAGTCCCGAGTGGGATAAAAAGGATTTATTTGTCAAATTACTTTTAAATAAGATGAAACTAAAATTAGTAATTAATATGCGTAAAAATCATATGGATAAACTTGGGAATGTACCATTAATAAATTTAGAGCGAAATTACATACAAATATTTACCAATTAAGCAATTAGTCTTCACAGAAATTTCGGCAGAACTCTTGGGAGATATATTATTTTTGCTAATAGTTATTTTAATTTGTTAGCCTTTCCTATACCTTCTGATATTTCTCGCGGTTCCTCACCTGGATGTAAACTAGTTAAGGTGAACGAGAGTGTATTTAAACGGTTGGAGTGAAACGTTTAGCCAGAGAGCGTGATTTCGCTACTGTGAGCGCATGTTGCTATCTCTCCCAGCTGTTAACCTTAATTTCGACCACACATTCTTGCCACCGCCGAATTATTATCTTGCCGGTGTAGGTTCTAAGTCAACCCATTAGATTAAATTGAATCGTTTAGTCTTGTACTACTCTTATCTTCAAATTTAGTATTGTGTATCTTTTAACTTCTCACCGCAAGTGGCCGGTGTTAATTAAATAAGTCCGTTCAGTCTAAGTTATATTGTATTCAATAAAAGGGTCTTTTACACACTTCCCCTGGCTGTGTTCATCTTCAAGCCTATGCGAAAATTCGCAAGGATTAGCACTTAGGTAGATCTAGTTACATTTTATGATAACGAAGAGAACTAAATCCTACACTCTACTAAAATGGATTAAGCCAATTTTAGATAACATAAAGTTTAATAAAAAAAATTTACTTATAAAGCACTAGAAGAGGCTTTGGATTTTGCGCAATTTATGTTTTACTAAGAAATGTCAATGCAGCATCTTGTTAAGATTTTAACTTCAAAATTTTCTTTATAGTATTTATTTTCCCTTCGACAATCAGTGATCAACAATTGTTCTACAGCTGCATTTGAAAGGAATAATCAAAATTCAATTAAATTACAAACTGAGAGATTTTTTTACTTACTGGGAGACCGTAAAATGTGTTGAAACACTTCATGCCTCGTGGTTTTATAGAGTGCCTGTTATTATTAAAACGACCAGTCTTTTCCCCGACAAAGACCATCACATACATGTTCCAAAGCGACTATCCAAATGTATAACTTCTGTTATTAGCCTAAAACATTTCAAGCATTATACAAATCAAGAATCGTATCTCCAGCTCTTATTATAACTGAAAAACAAATTTCATAGAACGCGGTACTAAATAATTTTTGAATCATTAATGATATCCTTACTTCAGAGTGGTGTAATTTATCATCTGAGATCGGCTTTGATACTTTGATACTTTTGATATGCCTGTTTCAGCAGGAATTATATCCCGCTATTACAGGCACCTCAAATAACCCCGGTTAGAGGAGACATAACATACAGTGCTTCGCAGGAATACCTTGATAAGGGACTGCAGGAAGATTGTGTAGATGTGGCCCAAGCCAGTGTAAATGAAGAAGTCATACTTTGAAGCTTCAAAAATTGGCTGGCAGAAGTTAGGAGTATTTATGGGGGATTCCGATAAATGTGGGTTGCATAGGGCCTTAAATTGATGTCAATTCTAGGAGCTCGTACTTAAAATTGTCAGAATAATTACCTCCGCGTTGGTGATGGCTTCTTGAAAAAGTTATTATTTAATTTATTGATGAATAACGCCAGATTTTGGAGTTTAAGGTCTCTGTGTAGCTGTTCATTGCGAACGAACCAGGATGCTCCTGTGATTTTTCGTAAGTAGTTGTTTGGAAAACCTGCAATTTATTTAATACGGAAGGGGGAACACAGCACCATGCAGGGGAGGCATATGTAAGGATGGGTCTTAATATTGATGTGTAAATGTGCTTCTTGCGAGCAAGATCCAGTGGTGAAGAGGCGTCAAGAAAGTTTCGGAGTTTCCTAGAGACTCCTATGGCTTTCCCGATGGTCATGGAAATGTGAGGACCCCATGTAAGCGAGCCGTTAAAACGAACTCCCAAGTATGTAGCCTCTCTAACTTTGGGCACCATTTCATTAAAAAGGGTCAGATCTGCATCAGTGTTTTTTCTTCTATGCCGTCCTATCAGTAATAATTTAGATTTTTTTTGTGGCATTAATGGATGTCCTCCATTTGCGACACCATTCCTCTATCTCATGTGTGTGGTTTTGTATTCTGGTTATGGCATGTCGTGGATTAAGTGAACTAGAAAGAATGGCGGTATCATCCACATAGCAAGGCGGTGATGCAGTTTGTATTTTCAATCATAGGGAAGTTCTTAACATATATAAGATAAGAGAATAGGCCCAAGGATGCTTCCCTGGGGAACGCCAGCTTTAAGTAATGTGTTTTCATAATAAACATCGCCCTGCCTAACATAGAAAGGATTGATCACTTAGAAAGGAGTGAAGAATCAAAATCATTTCCCTCGGGAGATCGAGGGAAGCAAGCTTGTAGATAAGTCCTTTATGCCAGATGCGGTCAAAGGACTTTTGCCACATCCAGAATAAGGAAAGCAGTTGTCTGG